GGGGGGAAGAGCGATACGACTCAGTTTGGAGCGAAAAGTTACGCCGCTGATTGATTAAAAGAAAACGCTGCGGCAATCGATCGAAATGGCAGGGGTAGAAATATCGGCTGTGGGGACGGGGTGCGGAGCAGCGCTGAAAAACCTCCCGTTGCTTTGGGGCGTGAATTGGTGCTTCCCTAAGTTGGACCTGTCTGATTGCGATCTCTACAATGCAAGCCAACTTGAGAAATCGGAATGGAATAGAAGGCTAAAAACAAGCTGATTGGCTGTCAAACCTACTGGCAATGAAAGAATTTTTCCTGTTTCGGCCAAGGAAGAATCACAAGCACTGCCTATCTGTCACGAGGCTGAGCAAAAACTGGGGAACGCTGGGGAGGAGTACCGTGGAGGAGGAGCGTTCCACAAATTAAGCCCAGCCTAGACATGCAGAGACTGAAGCACCTCCCACTACTGGATGCTCTGAACAGCTCATGGGAGAACAATGAAGACATCTAATTGGATGAATGTCTTTCTTCCTTTTTGGAATGGCCTTCACTTAGTTTGTCCAAGTGAATTGAGGCCCTGTCAGGCAGGTTATGATTTTAAAGTTTTTTTAAAAAAAAATAATATTTGTATTCCGCTATTATTTTTACAAATAAGACAGAAAATACTGTAAGCTTAATATTCCTCCCTCTCCCTATTTTTGCCCACAACCCTGTGAAGTGAGTTGGGCTAAGAAAAAGTGATTAGCCCAAGGTCACTCGGCTAGCTTTCATGGCTAAAGGAGGGACCAGAACTCATGATTTCCACTCTTTTCTGTCCAGAGGCATTTCTAATGGGCATGCTTTTAAAAAAAAAACAATCAAGATTGCTCATGACTCCACCTCCTGCACCCCACTGAAACTCTCGTAAAAGCTTTAGCAATGGACTAATGCATCTTGTATCAATAAATAACAGCTGTGCATTTGGGATATGCTGATAGAGATGTGCCCAACAGATAAATGGCCATGGATTTAAAGCTATCAATTATGGTTCCCCACCAAGTATACTCTTGTCTTGAACAGGGTTGTTTTCGTGGGCCTATGTTCCCAACTTCATTTCCTCCTCAGAAATGAAACCTTTCCATAAGGTGAAATTAGAGTGACCTTCTAAAACTATTGCCATTGCCACATCATGAATGATTAGCTCATTTTTTTCCATTTAACCTTCCAGGTGTGTTTTTAACACCAGTATAATGTAGAAGCCAAGAAAACCCAGTTATCTACTGGAAACATACAAATATGATCCCTGGTGTGCCTGATATTTTATGGAGATGACAGCTGTTTGAAGGTGTATTCTCTGAAAGGATGCCACATTTTTCAATCCCCATTGAAATTTGATTAAAGACCCTTAGCTAGAACATGGACCTTGACGCTGTCCTTCAACAGTAACCAGCAGATCACATAATATATTGGGAGAAAACTGACATGAGATGGTTTAAGAGCTAATGAGCACGAACATCAAATGTAGTGTATGCAAATATAATGCAAATAGCTGTTTTCCTTTGTGAACATGTATTAATCTCGGAAAGATATGCAAAGCATCCACCCTTTGTGTAATCAGTGTCTGTTGATTCATTCACAAGCGATTCTGCCACATTCCAGTTTTCCAAATGACAGCAAAAAAGCTAAAAGCCTCTCTAAAAATCATTGCTGCCATCTAATGACCACCTGGAGCTTTGAAGTCAGGGTTGGTCATACCAGCGTTACTAATTTCTCATGCATTGCCTCAATAGGAAGGTTTAAATTTTTATTTAACATACTTTACCAAAACATCAGCTGATCAGGTGGCAGTTATGTGTTATTGTGCTGACTTTGTTAGAAACAGTCCTGCAACCTTCCCGATATTGTGAAATGCTTCATCATAAATTAATCCATTACTGTGCAGGAACAGTAAATTGGTACAAACCTTATCCCTATGAGTAGTGACCAAGCAGGTTTTCAGAAATAGACTTTAAATGATATAAATGCTGTTTCACTCTAAAGATCCAATTGTCATTGAATAAACTGAAAGAAACTGGCAATGATGAATTTGCAATCTGGCAAGGAAGTGAACAGGAACACTGATATTTTCTCTCATTGACCAGGCAAAGCAATCTCTGGAAGGGGAAAAGAACGGTCTAAAGAGGAGGGTTCTTCTCCCATCGCTAGCTAAACCAAGGGGAAGGGTTTTTGTCCTCTAGGGAAGATGTCACCTGGAGGAGGTGGTCAGCTTGGGAAGGACTTTTGATTTAAGACTGTAAAAAAAGAATTGCTCCACACCTGTAAATGGAATTCTCGAGCAGTTTAGGAACAATAAGGTCCTTGGTGTTCTCTGAGCTTGGTGCTTTTCTTACAGATCTTTCAATACCAAACTAGAAAGCATCATTAGTATCAGTGTGTGTGGATTGATTGCTTGTTTATATACAGTCGCTTACCCTGCTGGTACTCATACTGATGATATCTTATTTGGTAATGAAACTTCTACAACAAAACAACCAACTTTACAGAGCACAGAAGATCCTCCGGTTCAAGCCTGAACTACAAATATCTCGTCACTTTAGAAACAAATTCAATGGAAAGAAACAGTAATTATTTTCCGTTGAACAAGGGTCCTCCCTTGCCCAGGAACACAGCCTACTCGGATGCAAACCTGACCAAGTGCTGTGGGACCTTTTCCAAGTTAAGTGGATATGGAATTGTAGCTGAAAGGGTTTTTAGGGTACAAAACATTAGGGTTTTAAAAAACATTTTTATTAAAACACTTCAGTAAAACATCAGCTAAGTATAGTAAAGGCAATTATCTGTCACTGTATTGACTGTTAAAAACTGTTCAGTGAGCTTTGTGGTATTACAAAACAGCTTGTCTTTCAAATATGAATCTGGAGGAAGAGGGAGAGAATGAGAATATACAGGCCTAAATAAGACTTCTTTTGCTTTAGGTCTGGGCGTCAATAAAGATCCCTCTGTGAGCTGAAGTTTTCAGATCTCCTTGGCTTTGTATCTGACCCAGTTTCTGACTCAGATGACATTCCTTATTGATACTGAACAACTCCCAGGGCAGAATCACTACTTCAAGCCAGGACAGGAGGCACAAGGCCTTTTCAATCCTTTTCCTCTGACTGCATTTGTCATAATTGGAATCAGCTTGTGGCAAGAGGGAAGTTTTTATGAATGCCAGTGGGAACTTTCTTCTCTGTGCAAACAACAGGGAAAAACACATGAGAAAAATTAAAATGGAGACATTTTAAAAGTCAGTTTGCTGAATGCTACTTAATTTTTCCTTTTGAAAGTTAAGTTGTGGCTTATTTATTCCTGTAATTATCAAAAAGGGGAAAATGTTCATCAGTAATTGGTGGTGTGTAATGGGGGGGGGGGGGGGAGAAGGGAAGGAATTTCTCATGTAAAAATACAAGTATTAAATAACAGATGAGTTACAATGCTGCATTGGGTTCCATGAAAGTGTCAATATATTAAAACACAAGCACAGGTATCAAGAATGATTTAATGATTAAACACAAAACATAACAATGCAGGTATTTCTGACAAGCTAAGGTTTTTTTTTATTTTTAGCACACACATATTTAGACAGCATGTTTTGTTTGAATGGTAAAGCTGCTGTATGAAATATGTCAAAAAACTGTGCAAATCAATACCTAGAAACCAAGACATGTACATATAAGTTTTGAGAACATTAAACGCACACACACATACACACTTAAGAGGCACACACACAAAGTAAATCAGTGCTGTCTCATTCAGAAACAAGAAGGGATGGGGGGAGGGAGGGATTGATCGAAGAAGAAACAAATCAAATATGCAAAGCTAATAAAGAGAAATAATTAGTTTCAAACATTAGCTGAGCAAGAACATGGTAAACTCATATCTGTATAAATATAAAATCATAAAACTCTTAATATATAAATTTGGATGGACAAGGACAGAGGGAATGGCTTGATACAAAGTACAGATTAGCATGTTAATAGATTAAAACACTACCATTCTAAACAGCATATTTCTTTACAGATACCTGCCTATCAACCAACACTGTATATATCTCTGTGTGGTTACAACAGAGATTTCAACAAGCATTTCCGAAATAAATGTCCAACGACACAAGGAACTGAAGAAGAAATGAAGGAAATAAACCTCATTTTGTTCCAAGAATTTGTCATATAACTATAGTCTGACATGAACTAAAAGCAACACTCTGAAAAGGCAAAAACTGGAAAACATTTACTAGAGGCACATTTCTAAAGTCAATGAGTTGGATCCAGGAGTTGCTTGTGTGAATGGAAGGATTCCTATTTGCACTGGGGCAGATCCCGTTTTGCAGAAAAGTTTCCCTTAAACAGATGTAGCCTTCTCTGCTCTACGCTATTCATTCTCAAGTAAACTCCAGCTTCAATACTGCAGAGGAAGTTGGGGGGGAAGAGTGAGAAGTCAGGGTTCATCCCAAAGTTTCCTTAAATTGCAATTACAACCAATTGGCAGAAACTAGGAAAAACAGGGCAAACGCTAAATCTGCCCAGGAATAGCTCTGAAGTGTGGTTGAAACAACGCCATGAGAATATGCTGCTCAACCCCTGCCATTTTCAGAGATCTGCTTCACAACGGAATCCCTTTCCTTGGCTCGCCATGGCCCAGAGTGAAGACTCTCATTTCTATGGTTTTTCAAGCGAGGGAAAGACACGGCGATGAAACGGGAAAAGAATGAGCTGTGCCTTCCTGAAGGGGAAAAGGAGAACCCTACAGCTGGTTTCACCTCAGATGTCGCCGGTCGTTTTTGAAAAGAAACAGCAACTCTTTTCAGGATGCAACACTGTAAAAGTTGGGTGGGAGAGAGGTAGCAGGCTAGCCTCCCAAAGCAAATGCAGTTTCCATGGCTTATTAAAAGTTAATGGAGAGAAAAAAATTACTTTTAAAAGGTGAACCGCTGCAAGACTTGTTAAAAGAAAACAAGAGCAAGTCCAACTAAATGGCCGTGTTTTTTTTTTTTAAAAAAAAGCACTGGTGTCATTTCAAACCGAGCATATATAGAAGCACGAGCGCCTTTGAGCGTGTCCGCACGTCATAAACAGTCTGCTGTGTCTCTTTTGATTTCTGGAAGGAATTAAACGATGTTGCACCTCGGCTGAAGGAGAGGCCTCCCTCAGATCGGGATGCACAACATACTGTGCATGTGAAGGGTTTGCAGGGGGATTGCTCTCCATTCCAGGGGTTACCACTTGTATGGTAGATAGACATTTTTATATGCTAGACCTGAAGACAGCCATTTGTGAAAAGGGTCAATTAAGGAGATTGTATCGCCGATTTGGAAATACAATCTCTCCACAGGAAATGAGGCTGTACAGTTGAACGTGTGGGGAGATCCACATGTATGCATGTATGTGAACTTTTCATCAGTGACCCTGTGCTTCTCCTTTGGGCATCCGTACCAGGGCACAAAATGCCGTTTGAGAAGCTGCCCTCTTAGAAATGAAACAGTTCCATACATTTTCAAACTGGTAATTAGATTTTAGGCCCTGCTTTTATTTTGATTTAAGGCATGTGTGTTTTAAACTACTGGAAAGAAAAAAAGAGCTGAATTTTGTCATACAAATTACAGTAACATGCACTATCTACAGTTAAAAATATGAGTCTGAATTACACTTTTGGAATCGTGAATCCTAATTCAGCACCTATTATATCAACTAGTAAGGCAACAGCAGTGTCTGTCATACTACAATACTTCCTTCCACATTTTATGCTTCAGTCTATGATCATCCAGGATTATCAACGTCGTCAACTTTAGCTTATGGATAGTTTCTAGGATGTTTTGCACTGGTTAAATCCTATATAAATCAACACTATTCTAGGCAGGAATAGTTACAGTAGCTGTCAAGAGTTATCAGTGCACAACACATATTGTGCTTACAATCAGATTTTGTTGTTGTTGTTGCCTGGGATATCAGAATAGTTTTTCAGTTTGGTCTTCAATCCATTCTTTGTTTTATTTGCTTCACATTGTTCCCAAAAGAAGAAAAGCTATTTGTGTGCCCGTTCATAGCAGCTGCAGACCCATTCTGATATTCTTTCCTTCTGGAGGCTGCTTTTTTGTTGTAAGTCTTTGAAAAAAAAACCCACACAAACACAGAGAGACAGGTCAGTAATAGCTTTTGCCACAGTACCAAAGAGAAGGGGAAAATCAGGGTGTTTGTTTTTTTTAATTACATGAGTACTTTCCTCTACTCAGACTGTCTTAAGGGGCAGAGTCTGATTTTTTTTATCAGAATTAAAGTTTTCTCAAACTACAGTCTCCCTTACAGGAATGAAAAATAAACTGTAGTTTATTGTAAAACATGAACATAACGTTCTCTTCATACAGGCTATGGGTAGGGAGATGCTCATTCAATTCTTCTAATTTCAGGAGACCCAAAGGTGCTCCTCACTATATTCAAGATGTTATCTCATCCCCCTAAATTTGGGACACAGAACCAGGATAAGTTAAAAACAACTTAAGATCCCCACCAAACTAACAACTGGGGGGGGGGTGGGCAAACAAACCATGCAACACTTACTTTAAAAGTTTCATTTAATTGGTTCGCTATATAATCTTTTAGAACAATATTTAGTGCATTCTATAGCAGGAGTCCCCAATTCCTGGGCCATGAGCTACTTGGAACCAGGCTGCGGAAAGGGCGGGTGAGCACACACACACATTCCCACTTGTGCGAGCAAGCTGGTAAGCATGTGTGTGCTCCAACTGCACAGTGCCCACCACTCGTGCAAATGGAACTGCACTTGTGCATGCTTGCTCTCAAACTGTGCAAAACCATCCCTTCTTCACACACACACACACCCTGCCAGTCTACAAAGCTGGAAAGCAGAGGTGGTATTCAGCAGGTTCTGACCAGTTCTGGAGAAGCGGTAGCAGAAATTTTGAGTAGTTTGGAGAACTGGTAGCGGGAATTTTGAGTACTTTGGAATACCACCTCTGATTGGCCCTGCCCCTATCTATTCTTTGCCTCCCAAGTCTCAGCTGATCAGCTGGGTCTTCTTTTGTTGCTCTGCACAGGAGAGCGGAGCTGGAAACCAGGTTAGTGGGGTGGGGAGGGAATAGAGATTTTGCAGTACCCTTCCCCTGCCACACCCACCAAGCCACACCCACAGAAGCGGTAGTAAACAATTTTCAATCCCACCACTGCTGGAAAGGTTGGGGAACTCTGTTCTATGCTATCTTTTCAGATGCCTACTAGGACTGCAATGTTTCAGTTTTGAAGGCCAAAAAGTGCTTTGAGCTTTGGGGACATAAAAATAGCCCTGCCTATAAATTCTTAAAGCAACTGTGCGCTTTCCCAGTATGATCCTGAAACTGGAAGAAGACATATCTGGCTTAAAGATCTATAGATAAATGCAGTACTGATAGAATAAAATACTGTCCCATATTAGAATCCAACTGTCCGCAAATTGAAGAAACAGACTGGTGATGACCATCCCACTCCCATTCTTCTGGAAATACCTGACTTAACTCACCTGGACATAGAAATTTGTGAAAAGGATAATCAAGGAGATCATATAACCAATTTGGAAGTATAACCATCCCATAGGGAACCGACAAGGCCAAATGACCCCACAGCTTGTCTGGATGATTGTCAGAACAAACTGAACCTGTTGGGTAAGAGGAGAAAATGGTTATTTAAAGAAATAAATACCACATTGTGGTAGCCAAACAGAGCAGGAATCAATCACAATCATAATCACTCATTTCTTATGCTCTTGTTAAGATCTGCACCACAACTTCCAGTCATTCCTTAAGGAAAATGGGGTGGCACTCCATTCCAAAAAGATCAGGCTAAGAGGTAAGATACTTCTGACGTTCGATTAAACTCAAAATCTAGTGTGTAAAGACATGAAGCGAGGTTACCCCAAAAAGATAAAAGTTGATGTTGTGCAAATGAGCTTATAGATATCTTGTCATGAGTCTCAAGGTATCATTTTGAGATTGAAACTGAGTGTCTGCCTTCAGGAGTGAGATTAGCATGGCAACAAGTTGGCTGGTCGTAATTCCACTTAAAGGCCAGAAACAATGAACATGTTGAAAGTGGCCAACTTGACAGTGCCCTCATCAAGATCCTTGTGTTTATTTTGCAGCACAGGTAGTCCCTGATTAACAACCATTCATTTAGTGACAGTTACAAAAGCACTAGAAAAAAAGAGACTTATGACTATTTTCACAATTACAATTACGACCTTTGCAGCAATCCCCATGGTCACATGATCAAAATTCAGACACTTGTCAACTGGCATGTATTTATGATGACTGCAGTGTCACCTGATCACCTTTTGCCAGCTTCTGACAAGCAAAGTCAGTGGGGGAGCCAGAATCACTTACAATTGTGTTGCTAACTTAACTGTAGGGATTCACTTAAACTCTACGGCAGGAAAAGTTGTAAAACGGGCCAAAATCCACTTAAAAGCTGCCTGACTTAGCAGCAGGAAGTTTGGGCTCAATTGTGGCTGTAAGTTGAGGACTACCTGTATATCAAATGGAGCTCTTCAGTTGTCCATGCCTTTGTATGTATACTAAAGGGTGGGGTATATACTGGAGCTTCTGCATCTGTTAAAAATTCCTGGAGCTACTGAACTTGGGCAAGCGTTCCTGGAGCTATGCAGGTTACTATCAGGTCATGCAATGAATTCGGGTGTGTTCACATTTAATACAATATGCAAATACAGTCCACAGTTGAGGTTAAGGTAAACAGCTTTAACTACAATCAGAAACCGGAAATTTTAGTTAGCATGCAAATGTGGTCACATGAGTTAAGATGTCACACAAACGTATAAATGTTTGGTTCTTCCCAAAAAGAACTTGCTCCTATCTGTTCAAAAAAGCAAACTACTACTCACCAGCTGCCCCTGAGTGATGTATTTCTTCCACCAGAGATATGGACGCATAGATGGGATAGCAGATAGTCCATAGTAGGAATACATGAGGACATGAATAAAGCTGTTAAGAGTGGCACCAAAATACGCTACAGGTGGTAAGGAGAGGGGAAAATGCGATTATGAAAGGCATTGTTTTAAAAGATGCACTAAATCAATTATAAATATTTTACAAACCTTTAAAACTTCAAGATTAGAATAAAATTGAACCTTGGAAACACCAAAGAAAGGTCATTTAATGTCATTTCTGAACCTGAACTGGTTGTAATTATAACTTGTTAATTATAAGAGGTTTCTCCCACTTAAGATTGTGGTTTCCAGGGAACGGCTACAAATTGTAATGGAACACTGACTTTGTTTACAAGCCATTATTCAGCCATACACATCAACATTTATTACAATCAGTAGTCAATCTACATAACAATGGAGATCGAAGACACATCTATTTACATCATATTTTGCATCTAAGCAGCTACCAGAGGTGAACTTTGAATGCATAGTGACTGTTTCTTCACCTCTCTCATTTGTTAGCCTGGTGCAAATAGATGCAGTTATTTGATGTGAGCTGGGTGCATCTGATGCTAGCAGTATGGGAGCCTCCACACTGCATGAACATCTAAGTATTTCTAAGTGTGACATTGAAGTATAGCTGTTACAGCATGGAAAAGCTTTTTGATAGCTCCTGCCTGGCGTTGTTTTTGATAATCTCGATATCTACTCCCAATTGTAACTCAGAACATCTAAGCACAGTGCAAGTTGGCGGGGGACAAACATTTGGCAAAATACAGAGCTGAAAAAAAAGACAAAGAAGTAGCAAACAAGGACAAAAGCTAGCTATTGTGAAGGAATTTAACCTTTAATCAATCAGCCTCAACTTTGAGTTTTACCAAATTAATGACAAGCGTGATAAGCCTTATAAACAATTAGAAATAAAACCTCTACAATTTGGTGAGTGAACAGAATACATATCCAGGTAGTCCCCGACCTATAACCATTCATTTAGTGACCGTCTGAAGTTACAATGGCAGTGCAAACATTGACTTATGATGGGTTTTTTTATACTTATGACTTATTGCAATTTCCCCGTGGTCATGTGATCAAAATTTGGGCACTGGACAACTAGCTCCTATTTATGATGGTTGTACTATCCCGGAGTGATGTGATTAACCTTTTCCAACCTTCTGACAAACAAAGCCAGATTCACTTTACAACCGTATTACTAACTTAACAGCTGTCATGGATTCACTGAACAACTCTGGCAAGAAAGGAGGTGAAATGAGGCAAAATTCAATAGCTGTCTTGCTTAGCAACGGAAATTTTGGGCTCACTTCTGGTCATAGGTTGAGGACTACCTGTACACATATAATCTTTTTTTTTTTTTACAATGAAACTGTTCTAGAATCATACATGTGGTATATGTATATACAATATTATATGCACACAATCAATCTCCCTTCCTGAATCACAAGAATACTTACAGTGGCCACAAGGCACCCAGTTCATAACAAACCACCAAATATTCAACATAGTTGTATGGTGGTAGACATGAAGAATGGTGATTTGGTGGTTATTTTTCCGTAATATAAAGAAGAAAGTATCCATAAATTCGATGAACTTTGAGAAGTAATACCACCAGAGGACCCGTATAATCTGGGAAGAGGAGAAATGGTTCAGATGGTTTGATCCACAGATACATGTAAAATAAAACTTTGGGGCATATTCTCTGCCTCAAAGGAAGATCTTAGTTGGACAAGAACCTAGTGGGAATTAGTGCTCCTTCTGATCCACTGTCCGTTACATTAGTATTTCTCAACCTTGGCAACTTGAAGATCAGTGGACTTCAACTCCCAGAATTCTCCAGTCAGCAACACTGACTGGGGAAACTGGGAGTTGAAGTCCACCAATCGTCAAGTTGCCACGGTTGAGAAACACTGTAGACCGTGGCCTGATTCAACAGTGTCCTGGGCTTCCAAACACAGGACTATTTCACAACCAGGTGTTTAATCTTACACTGAAAGCGATTCAAAGGAAAGAGAGAGGTGGCTCTACTGTGTAGTCCAAACACTTTGGGCAGGTCTGAAGTAGCTACCTGATTATAGGTATAAAAACGAAGCTGTGTCTAAAGCAAAAGACACTGTAATTTTATGCTAATTAAACTGTAGCTCAGGTGCATCAAAACTCACAAGGGAAATGTTTAATCCTCACATTGCTACAGAGATCCCTGAACAATCTGAGCAAACACGAGTTAAGGCTATTGTATTCCCTAAGCTTTTGCCCTGCTAGAGAGACTGAGATCCAGAGGAAGGTTGATTATGAAGGGAGAGAACTAGTTTTTGAGCAAGCATATTATGAAATAGCAAGCTAGACTGTTTCGGTAGCCCATGCTGAAATCTGACTCAATTAAAACTAAGTTACAGGACAAAGAATCATTAGGCTGAAGAATTTGCAAACAAATGAAAGAATTAGGTAAGAAGTTTGACCCTCTCTTCCAACAATATAAATGGGTATCTGAGCGAAGGGGATCTTTTTGGCTGAAATTCCAAAATAAAGAATGCAGTACAAGCTTTTAGGAAAAGCCTCAAGACTAATTTCTTTTCTTTGGCATTATCCAGGATTATGGATGTTTTAGGTTCAAAGATTCGGGGAATTTTGCAATTTCAGCATTTTAAGGGATATCTGTTTTATTACTGTTACTAGCTTTCAGTAAGTTGTGATGTGCATTGCTTGCTCATTTCTTTCTAAGGTTATAAAATTAAGATAAAATATATTCTGTCGGTTATCAAATCTATCACTGCATAAGAGGCACTTGATATAACTTAATGTAGAGAATTAACCATTAGCTCCCCTCATTTTAATGTTTCAGAATATTTTTAAAAACGTTCCCTGACCACCACTCTTCTGAAGATTTCACAATCTCTTTCCCCCCACTTAAGAGAAGTATTTCAATGCCTGGTTATGAAAAGAAAGAAATGGATGGGACTGAGTCGCAAACAAATGGAGTCTCAGATTAAGAGGTCAACCGTACACCATTTACAGAGTCTTGAAAAGCTTTTTATTCCTTTTGCATGCAATTATCCCAACAGCCACAGTGATATTTGGTTACCTATGAGTTCCAAAACGTATTCAGTCATAAAACTGTCTTTTGAATATTACAACTCTCAGAAATATACCACATTTTTCTGTGTATAAGATGATACTTTTTCTTAAAAATATTTACCTACAAATGGAGGGGCATCTTATATGGGGTGGGGTGACTGGTGAACCGCGGTTGCGAGACTGCCGATACCTTCTCTCTGCAAACTAGCCTCACGAGTGAAACTTCCGATTGCAGAGACAAGCTAACAGGTTTCCTCCAATCATGAGCCTTATGTAACTGTTGTCAGCTGATGCTGCGGAGAGCGTGTAGCCAGTGCGACAGGGAGTGGTAATGTCGAAGCGTTCTAAGCCCATAAAAATGTCAGAAAACACACACACACACACACACACATACACACACACAAATCCTGGTACCGGTAAGCAAATGTCTTACTTTGTAAAATAAATGCCTTCTATTTAATGTTTAAAATGTTGATTGCTGAATTTTGGATAAGAAAAGGGGGGGGCATCCTATACACGGGGGCGTCTTATAGACAGAAAAATATGGTAGTTGTAACATTTGACATATTCCCCCTGTTTGGAAGAAAGGCAGCATAGATGCTCAATTCAAATGTAATTAACCGAGTCAGATAATTCCTGGTAAATATTTTAACTTGGGAAGAAGATCTGAGCTGGTACTTCCTTGTTAGTGTGATAAAAAAAGGCCAGGTTGAAATACCTGGCTCCTCTACCAACACTGAGTGCATAATAGAAATGGGGAGTATAGACAAATTATAGGATTCTGAATTGTTTTGTGTCTAAAGCAAAAATTTGACATTTTTGGATTCGGATTGCAAATCAATCTATAAATTCCTAAACAGCATTTTTTGCACATTTTAAAAAAGGATACTGGTACTGAAATTTCAAAACAATATCTGCTGAAATAATCATATGTTGATCAGATTATAACTGGGAAAGCACACGTTTGAATATTGCACAGATAATGGCTTATATCCAAGTTCCAACGTAGCCTGTTTTGATGTGCTCGTTTTAAAATGAGGTTAAAAAAAATAGCAGTACTCAGTGATTATCTACGGCCTCCAAAGAACCATTAGGAGCATATCAATGATATTTCTAAATGCCATATCAGATTAAAGGAGGCTTTAAAACCTCGCAAAATAAAGGCTAAACATTTCAAATAGATGAGGAGCTTGGTCTATTGATTCCTGGAACTGCTATTTGAAATTGAAAGTCTAAAAATGTATTTTATTACAATTATTTTTAGCCTGACTTTTAGAATAGAGCCCTGTCAAGGAGACACGTTAAAAAAAATGATAGCATTAATGATAGCAATTACAAGCAAGACAGCAACCTCAAAATACAATTTAAGAAAAGTTCAAGAATAAATGGAGAAGCAAAAAACAAGTTTGAACTTAAGAATGGAATGGATTCAGGGGTGAGGACTGGATGGAGTGCATGAGCTCCCAATGGAAGTTCAACAGTCCTCAAGGAAAACTCAAGGAGGGTTGCTCAAACTTTCTGACCTATCTCTTCATCCTTAAAATAACCTTACACATACGGAAGACTGTCTTCTTTCAAGATATTAATCTACAAAAATCAGAAGTGCATATTCCAAAGGAGAGTAAAAAGCATCTTTCCTAGAACAAATCATGTTGACAACACTTTCGAGATCTTAATTAGAATGTCTTCCCCATTTCTGCAAAGCAGGCAAACTGTTATGAACTCCCTAATTTGGGAAAGGGGGAGACATTGGGGTGTTGCTCCTGTCTTTCATCTAATTTTATCAGATTAGGTAACGAGCAGTACATTAGAGATTTTTTGCACCGTTTCCTAAAGGGGAATATGAGATATTTAACTCCCTGCCACTAGTTCCAAGTATTGTTCCATTTGAAGTGTTACATGGAAATACCTGTGGGTTTATCAAAAGTGTATCATGAAACACAAGGGCTGAAAATGAAGGATTAACACTTGAATTTCTAATGTACCTGCAGGTTTCCATGGATATTATGTTCAGGCAATATACTGTGAGCAAAGGCAAGTTTTAAAAAGGGACATTGCATTTTTAAAAGGATTATTTTGTTAACTGCAGATTTTACTTAAGAGTTGCCGTTTGAGAATGTTTTGTTTGTAACCGAAATCTTTCTGGGTAATCCAGAAACATTCCACATTCTATTTCTTGTAGGAAAGAATTGGTTCCAATAATTGTGTTTTTGCTCTAAACACTTTTGCAGGTGAAGCATTGTTGTTTCAGGAAGGCCCAGCTTCCATTCCTCACCCAGCCTTAAAACACTTAACCTATAAAGCCCTTCCATCCAAATCAGACTCAAATAGTTGTTAGGAAATCTGGCTGCTTAAAGCTATTTACTAATTGTAAATATTACTATTTAGTACTGTTACAATTTTACTTCAATAGTAACATTGTTCTTCAAAACAACTTACACAATATATTTTTAAAATAGAAAAGCTAATAAATTTTAAAAATCCTTAGTTTTAGAGTTTTAGAGTGTAGTACCACCCAAGTTTTTTTTTTGCAAACTACTTTACCTACTTCTCCAACATCAATCAACCAAGACATATTAGTAAATCTTTCCCATGCAAGAGCCACACACATCCACAATCCCAGTTGAACAAAGAGAAATCAAGTTATTGCTCAAGGCCTATTATGGGGCTACATTACTGCTAAGACCTCGATAGCTTGAACAATGAGAAATCTATAGACACCGTCTGCAAAATTTGTCTTCCAACTCTTATCACAGGTCTTTATTTAGAGCAGGGGTGTCAAACTCACATTGTCATGGTAGCGTCACATGACATATCAGGACTTCCCCACCTTCTCTAAGCCGGGATGGCCAGCGCGTGATGTATCTGGCCCATGGACCGTGAGTTTGACAGCCCTGATTTAGAGATATCTGCATAAGCGTTGCTTCCTTTTGCAAAGCATTAGCAGGCAACAGACATTAAAGGCTCAATCGCCTTTTCTGACCGATGATTTCCATATAAAGTAGACTTCAGCCATGCTAGCTAGAATTGGAGGAGGAGTGAATCCTCAGCACATTTGGAAAACACCAGGTTGGGAGGGTAGAGCTAGAAGAGTGTCCTTTGCAAACCAGCATGCTCACACCTGTAGGAACCCTCTTCTTCAAGAGGTAAAGTAAAGCAGCAGAATCAGTTTAGAAGGTTACCTTCATATCAGCTTCACCTCCACTGTGCGTATCCTGACAGAAGAAATTGTATCCTCCTTCCCATACTCCCGTCACCAGCTAGAGCAAAACAAACATTTGGTCAATAGACAGTAGTGGGACCTGAATAGGTACTTATAAGTGATACCATCAAATCATGAAAGAATCCAAATCGTATCCAAGACAACCCAGAAAAAGAAGAACTGGGGGTAGGATCTACCCCATGCAGTCCTCGAATTATAACATTTCATTTGGTGACTGTTCAAAGTTACAACGGCAAGGAGAAAAGTGACTTATGACTGTTTTTACACAACCGTTACAACATCCCCATGGGTCATATGATTAAAATGCAGGCGCATAGCAATTGATTCATATTTATGATGGTGTTCTGACCCAAACCCTTTTCCAATAAAACAAACACAAACCAAAGGGAACAGGAACCCTTTTAATGATTCTTACAAATCCCCGGTTAAAAGGCTGCTGCAAACTAATTAACTTTGATAAGCATGAGCCTTTCCAAAACTGTGCAAGGCTGCTAAGAATAACAGATAAGGTTACCTAGAAATATTTTACAAAACAAGAGTCTTCAAATACCAATTAAGATAATGCAGTGTCCATGAGGCTCAAGTTTCAAAATGTCTTTGCTTCCTGCAAAGAGCGTCCAATTCACAGCTGGCTTTTATCTTCTTGGAGGGGCCATTACCTTGCAGCCTTACTCCCGAGACGCCTGTGCTGCTGCAGCTGCTCTTTCCTGCAAGCAGCCCTGCATGCCCACACACTTGGCACAGGCTCCTCAGGAACCTCCTCATCGCTGCTGCCAGCTCCCACAATCTCTGAAAGCAGCAGCCCACTCCCTAATGGTCCTGGCCCCTCATCTGAGTCCTCACTCTCAGCCGTCCTCACCTGCTGCTGGATAACCACAACAGATGGGGTCATTTGATCACCTTTTGCAACCTTCTGATGGAGTAGCCGGATTCACTTAACAACCATGTTACTAACTAAACAACTGCAGTGATTCACTTAACAACTGTGGCAAGAAAGGTCATAAAATGGGGCAAAATTCACAACAAGTATTTTGCTTAGCAACATAAATTCTGAGCTCAATTGTGGTCAAGGACTACCTATAAAGCAGGGAGATTCACCCTTTCTCTATCTTTCTGCCATATCTTCTTCTCTTTCCTTCTGAAGAGCAGTTGGAGGAAGGACAAATAATCCTTGCAAAGTCTGAAGGCGTGCTCACAAAACCCTTTTGACATTACATGGAGGAAGGTTTGACCTGAGGGCCAAAGACAATCCCCACTCAAAGTGCTTTTAATATAGCTTGGAATTGAATAGGCTTTAGGATATTAAAGTTATTTAATATTAAAATATTCCATTTCTTATACTTAAGTCTTTCATGCTTCAGATGCCTTTGGTCAAACAGGTTCTGATGATTTCAAAATGTGGAAGATTACAACATTCTGATTTACCAAAAGAAAAGAAGAAATAGAAACACACCACAATTAATTCTCACCCTTTAAAACATGGAATTTGGTATGTTAATGTGATATAGGTTTCTCCTATCTTTGAATAGAATGAGAGTTTATACTCCAATCTATTCTTTTTTTATGCTTCCCATTAACCTTCTCTTTTAGGTTTCTTGGCTGATTTGCACAGGAAACAATTATAATTTTAAATTGGACTAACCTCTATGTTCCCCAGCTAAGTTAATCATGAGCAAAAAAAACCAAAATAAATTGCAGGTCAATATCAATGTTTCTATTGCTTTTTTTTTAGAACTCTCCAAAAGAAGTCAAAATGATTAACCATAATATTTGAAGCAATTCACATTAAGAAGGCATAAACTTGCTTCTGTCTATTAACCTACATTTGTGAGATCAGGGGTTCCTAAACGTTCGGCCGTCATACTTTCTTTTAGTATAGTATCAATGTACACACACTTCCCCTAAGAATCCAAACACCAGAATGAACACAAATGAACAAAGGAAACAATACCAATGAATTAGTGAAAGGTGGGCTTTATTGCAGCAATGTAACTAAAAGGTTCTTCATGCTTCTTCTAGACCCTATATGCACCTTCCCAAGAGTGATATATGTCAACCCTGAGGCCCGTACCTCGTGAGGCACCAGACCCTGTGGTCATAGGCCAAACCCATTATGAGGTGCAGCGAATCGATTCAAGGTGGCACAGGAGACAACTCCAATATTTAATCAAGTGGAAGGGCTACCCCTTATTAGAGGCATCTTGGGTAAAGATAGGAACATCCAGGCCGATCACCTTATAGCAAGATTCCATGCAGAAAATCCAACCAGGGTGGTGTGTCGCAACCCTAAATTCTATGCCTGCACTCAATTTATTTTTTGCTTTGTACAGGTCATCTTCAAGAAGTGAGGGGAGCTGAATGTCAACTCATAAAACATTCCTATGCCTATTTTTGAGTTGCCATAAACAAAGGGGAGAAATCTGAAGGAGTATTACAGCAGTTTACAATCAGAACTACATTCTACCCTTATCTACAAAGATTGTAGCTAGGCTACCAGATCTTCTACCTGCGAAAATCCTTTATTGGAGAATGTGATTGATGATACCCAGCCCATAAATGTGCTTCATTGGAGAATCTGATTTATGATACACCCAGGGGGGAAACAGGGTCACAGGTGACTGTAAATTATGTATGCTAGAGTTGGCTTCATTTAGGTTAATGCCGACATGTTGCTCCTAATAAATCTTTTAATTTTTTTTGAAGCTTGGCTTGAGGCTCATGATTTAATTAGGACAACTGCCGGAATCCTGACAGTATAGTTCAGAGTTCCTCAACTTTTCTAGCTTTGCTGACCAGCGGGGTGGTGGTGGCGGTAGTTCTGTGTGAGTGGTGGGTAAGTGTGTGCACAGCTCCATTTGTGCAAGTGATGGGCAAGTGTGCACACACTGATTCACCCACTGCTCACGCAACTGATGCATGCCCCCCCACTTTGGGTGGCCTGGTTCTGGATAGCTCACCGTCATGTAGTGGACTATGGCTGGGGGGCTGGGGACCCCTGGTATAGCTCACAGCTTATGAAACCTAGTTCTACAGGTCTATGGAGTTTCTCAGTCATCCAGATTATGGTTGTCCCAAAGGTGTCTTTTTAAGAGGCAGCTGGACTTTCTTATTTTTCTTTGAAGACATTTTGCTTCTCATCCAAGAAGCTTCTTCAGCTTCTTGGATGAGAAGCAAAATATCTTCAAAGAAAAAAAGCAGAAAGTCCAGTTGATTTGAAAGTTTCACTTAATTTGAACTGCATGGAGGCTGTCTTATGTGATATAAGTCAGATTGCAAGTCTATGACAGGGAAGATAATACCAGCTATGCTCCAAATAGCATGGAAGTTCTGATTTGTTTATATCCAGACCCAAGCAGATTTCTGAATGTTGGCTGCACAAATAGCTGCTAAGCGTACCAATCCTGCAAGGGATCCCTTCCTGTTATCTGCTTAAACCCCAAACTTAATTTTCTTTAAATACTAATAAATAGCATTTCAGTAGCCATCCCTTCTTAAAATGGCAAGTCTGTGGGGTCTATATACAAATAAAGATGAACACATGAACTATATGCTACAAGATAGTGGAAGTGTATAGCAAACATACAATTCATGTATAGCATCTCTTTAATCTGAAGAATTGTCTTGTCTTGCAGGCTTAAATAAAAATCACCCTCCTCCTGCGAGGCCTGAGGCATAACTTTTTCCTTTCTTACCTCATAAAACATATAGAGGGACAGGAGAGTAAGTCCAATATTGTAGACCACTAGAACTCCCCTGGATGAAAACGGCTGTCGGTTCCGCATATACTTTGGTCCTAGCCATATAATTAATAAATATAAGACAGAGAAGAGAAAGGTAGGTCTGTAGTTCGTCAAGAGAAACCATCCTTTTACTCTGGGATCTGAAACAGAAAACATTTTTTATTACTATTATTTGTGCTTTGGGTCAGCAGGGATTTAACCCTAGAAAATAGCTGTCCATTCCGGATTCCAACACCTCCCTCTCTCATCTCTTTAGGAAAGCTTCAGTCATAGAAACTGAAGGAATAATAGCTGGTAAATACACAAAAAGGTCTTTTGTTCTTATTTATGCAACAACACTCCCCCTCTCATATGAAGTCTGATTTAACTGTGCTGTTGCTAAGGGAAGTACAACTAATTATGTTCCCTTTACTTTATAAAATGCTGTTCCCCGGAGGAGCGCTTGATATGCCACTTTTCATACTGTATTTGTTTCTAAAAACTTGATTCAAAGTACCTGCAGCCCCTGCTGTTTTTTTATTTCTCCATTTTCCATTAAATTTTATCTCCCGCATTCCATTATGGGATCATGTTTTTTAATAAGAGGGATTTTAAATGAGACAAAGTGACCGACTTGCTGTTCAATTTGCTGTTCTTGCAGTTTTACTGATGAAAAAGCCTGCAGTGCAGCAAAATAATGAGTATTAAAGATTATTTTTGAATAATCAGCTTTGAATTCTCTTGGGAAGAACTGCTTTAGCTCGTCAATTCAAAGTGGTCTCCCAGGAGTTAGAATTTTAAACTTTTATCCGTTCATATTTAAGAATACTGGAGCTTCGTCTTAATTCCCATTCATTTGTTGTTACAATTAAACAAATGAGAACCAGTTTGGTCTAAGGCACCAGGCTAGAAAAACCAGAAGACAGTGAGTTCAAGTCCTGCTTTCAGCATGAAAGCCATGTAAGTGGCTGTTGCTTCCCATGCAAATACTTCAGATACCAAAGTCAGTGTGGAATGTGGCACTACTGAATTTTAATCTATGCAATAGTCTGAATGCCTGGAATAAATGCTGCGCTGATTATGCTGATCTAACTTCTAATTGGCTGTGGATACAGAAGAAGACTAATAAACACCTGAGGAATTCTATGAAGTGTATTTAAGAGGCAACAGGGCGTACTTATTTCATCCTACTTGTAGAGGTCAAGAGACTGAATCAGTTTAAGAAGAAATGCCTTGCTGTCCGTTCTTCCCTAATAATTTCAATCTCACCTTTATTATTTTCTATAAAGTAATTCAAGCTGGGAAACATACCTAATTCTTCTTCCTATTTTCCCCCCAACCCCCACTCTTTGAGGTGGGTTGAGCTGAGAGAGAAGGACTGGTCAAGAGTCACTCAGAGGGCTTTCATGCCTAAGGTGGGACTAGAATTCACCATCTCCTGGTGATTGACCAAGACTCGTTCAGATGGCTTTTATGCCTAAGGTGAGACTAAACTCATGGTTTCCTGGTTTCTAGGCTAGCATCTTAACCCCTACACCCATGATGGCGAACCCATGGCACGCATACCACAAGTGGCACGCAGAGCCATTTGTGCTGGCATGTGAGCTGCAGGCAAACTTACCTCACTGCGCATGCCCGCACCTCACAGCTAATTTTTTTCCGGTTGGTTTGAGGCTTTTTTCGGCCTCCCAGAGGCTTGGAAAAAACCTTTGCAAGGCTTCTCAGGCCAAATTATAATACTGTAATAACGGAAGTGACGAAACGGGCCTATAATTTGGCCTGAGAAACCTTGCAGAGGCTTTTTCCAAGCCCAGTCTGGGAGGCTGAAAAAGGCCTCAAACCAGCTGAAAAATCAGCTGTGAGGGGCACTGCAGGTAAGGGGATAGGGGTGAGGATTGCGTGGGCATACACAGGGGTCATGGGGAGGGGGCATGTGCATTGCATTATGGGTGCTGGCGCGCTCGCAATTTTTGGCACAGGAGTCCCAAAAGGTTAGCCATCACTGCTCTACACTAAACTGGCTCTTTGTTATTAAATGCTCCATCTATTGGTTACAACAAGAAGGAATTTACAGTCTGACTGAGAGAATGCCAGAATCGAGAAAGATAGGTAGACCTTGACAAAAAACCATTAATTTAGAGATCATACTAAGATACAATAGCACTGGGGGGGGGGGGGGGGGGGAGACTTATGGCCACTTTCCCACACTTGCAACCGTTGTAGCATCCTCATGGTCACATGATCAAAATTCCGATGCAGGGCAACTGGCTTGTATTTATGATGGTTGCAGTGTCCTGGGGTCATGGCCACCATCTTTCTGACCAGCCAAGCTAATGGGGAAGCCAGATTCACTTAACAACCGTGTTACTAACTTAACTAAAATGATTCACTTAACAACCGTGACAAGAAAGATTGTAAAATGGGGCAAACACTCACTTATCAACTGTCTCACTTAGTAACAGAAATGTGGGGGTCAAGTGTGCTCGTAAGTCGAGGACCACCTCTAGGAGTAGTCTATTTTTTCTTGTAGTTTAGAACTGGATGGAGTAACAACTGCTTGTTGGTAAAGGAGCTGTCATGTTTATTTCCTTTAAACTATAGAGCTGAGAGAGGCTAAAACTTTAAAGGAAAACAGCCCTCCAGCTGCCTGAAGCTGCTGCAGCCAAAGCAAGCAGAGACTAGACCCCGCCTGGCTCTTAACAGTTCAAAACAAAATGAGCTACATACATACCTCTTGGCCCAAGCCAAACATCCAGGTAGCTATTGATTGTTGTATCCAGTGATTCCATTGTATCACCTAGAAAGAAAGAGGGGAAAAAAGTTTACTTTTCCCATAGAACTCTCTGATTGAGACCCAATTAAGACTTAACTATAGTTCTGAATATCTGATGCAGTTTTATAGGAACTGCTGTGATACATTTTTGTTTTGTCTTTCTAAAACATTTCAGAACAGAACAATTACCTTGTTTCTCCAACAATACGGCCTCCACCAATAGGAAGGCCCAGCATGTTTTATCGGCATAAAATCAAATTAAGCCAAATTAAGACCTATATTAAACATGCGAAATGGGGGGGGAATGGTGGTGGTGGGGCTTGCCATTAGGAAATACTTTTGTTGCATATCCGGATATGGTGCTGCCTGCGTTGACTTTGGCATTGGTGGGGCACTTCGTATCAGGAGAGCTTCCTCCACCGTTGCTTTCCCTTCTCCCTTGCTACCGTGGCGTTTAGAGCAACGCCGCAGCGTTTGGCGCAGCCACGCGCAGCCAGCCAGGGCTCCTCCCTGCAACCGGAGTCCGACAGAGACACTCAGCTTTAGGCACTCCTGTCGCTGCCTTCCCTTCGCCTTCAAAGGCAAAGCCAATTCTTTTAAAAATGACACCCTATTACCAGTACGAAAAAGCTCCCGGGGCTGCAGCGCAGGATCGGCCCACCTCGGGAGAAGCGGCCAGCCGCCATCCCTGCCTGGCGCCGGGCAGAGTGTGAAGAGCTTCACCTGGGGTGCCCAGCGCAGCTGACAGGCGGGCCCTTCTGCCCGGCGGTGGAGCTCTCGCCAAGGCAGCAAGCGCCTCCCCGCTGGACCCTCTGCTCATCCCATCAGGGCCACGCCAGAGCTGTGCGGGCTGGGTAGAGCCGGGAAAGCAAGCCATGGGTGTGCGCCCGCCTGCCAAGTGAAAGAGCCGGGCCGACCCAAGCTTGGCTTCCTTCCCAAGTCCCTCCAGCCCAAACCCGAAGGGGCCATTGGGAGAGGCCGCCCGAGGCAGTGATAGAGCCCACCCATCCGTGGACCGGGAGGCAAGGCGATGGCCTGCGCCACGTCCTCCTCTGAGCTGAGCCCCGCCGAGTCAGCGCCTCGGCCTGATGCCCGTTCCACTGCAGCTTTTGGAACTGCTGGCGCATTTGGAGATGCGTGGGGACAGGGACAGGCTGGGTGAGAGGTGGAAAGAACAGGGGGTTTCGGGCTCTCTCCGCCAGCCAGAGAAAACATCACCTCGCCTCCCTGTCCACGGACGGGTGGGCACTATTACTGCCTTGGGCAGCCCCTCCCAATGGACCCTTCGGGTTCGCGCTGGAGGGACTTGGGAAGGAAGCCAAGCTGAGGTCAGCCCGGCTCTTTTGCTTGGCAGGCAGAGCTTTCCTGGCTCTGCCCAGCCCGCACAGATCTGGCACAGCCCTGGCGGGATGAGCGGAGGGTCTGTTGGGGAGGCGCTCACTGCCTTGGTGAGAGCTCTGCTGCTGGGAAGGAGGGCCAACCTGTCAGCTGCGCTGGGCACCCCAGGCAAAGCTCTTCACGCTCTGCCCGGCGCCAGGCAGGGATGGCGGCTGGGCGCTTCTCCCGAGGTGGGCCGATCCTGCACTGCAGCCCCAGGAGATTCGCCTCCTCACGTGGGGTTGGGCTGCCCTCTTGGGCAGGGAAGTCTTTGTTGTAGTAGGGCGTCATTTTTAAAATAATTGGCTTTATCTTTGAAGCAAAGGGAAGGCGGCGACAGGAGCACCTGAAGCCGAGTGCCTCCGACGGGCTCCGGTTTCAGGGAGGAGCCCGGGCTGGCCACACGTGGCTGTGCCAAACGCCACGGCGTTGCTCTAAACGCCGCGGCAGCAAGGGAGAAGGGAAAGCAACGGTGGCAGAAGGTCTCCCGATATGAAGTGCCCCACTAACGCCAAGGTCAACATCCAAGCTGTTTTTGCCCGCCCACCCGAGGATGCAAGGGGGAGGAATTAAGTCACCCCCAAAAAGATGGCCTAGCCGTTTTTTCGGGGGTCAAAAATATAAATAAAAAGGCCCGGCCTTATTTTGTGAAAAACATGATAGGTGGCTGTATTTTCTGTACTAACTGTACTTGCTGCGTTTCCCTTGACAGTAAACACAAAGTTAGGACTTGTTCTAACTAAACTGTACACTGAATTTACAAAGGATTCTCTTTAATGAAGGTTAAAAAAGATTTAATTAATCTTACATTGATATTTGCTGAAGGGTGGGCAGCCTGGTAATAATGGCTTGATGTTTTTTATAACAAATAATGCCTGAGCACTTATTATGTCTGAAGGCTATGGGAGTTATAGTCCAAAAAATGTGGAGAACACTAGGATGCCTACCTTTGCAAGGGTGGGAGGAGGAAGGGAGAGGGAGGGAGGGAGAGAGAGAGAGAGGAAGAGAATAATCTTAAAGAGTTTTAAAAGCATAGCTAACAGTGTGAGGTGTCTCAGCAAAGATATTTTGGAATCTGGTAATTAGGAACTACAGAAAAACTGGTAAGACTACTGTTTCTAAACACAATATCGCTGACCACAATTAATCTTTAATGCAACAATAGTTGGGTGAGCCCGTTGTCTGGTTATACCGATTGTGCTGAGTTTGATTATTCTCAGCTGCTTTTCAATGCTGTTTTAAATTATTTACATTTTTGATCACTGGCTGTGTTTTATTTTGCTCCTATTTCTTTTCTCAGCTTCCCAGAGTCATGTGTAGGCTGCCATACAAATATCCTAAATAAATGAATAAATATAAATAAATAAATAAATGGGAAACCATCTCTACTCTTTTCAAACACCAACACACGACTGACAAGTCAAAGCTTGAAATGAAAAGGTGTAACCTGCTTTCTAGTTAGTTTTGTAAAAAAAAATTAAGCAAGGTGTTTTTCCAACTGTTTGCCCTTCTCTGTTTTATAAATAATTCTGACTCACCTTTGTCTTTTTTTTTTTTGTGAATGGACAGGGCACCACAGTATTTAAATTAATGGAGGGCTCTCATACAAATCTTAGGAGCAAGCTTGATCTTCCGGAACTATAACATAGCAGAACAATCTGTGACTTTATATAAAGCTGCCTCATCACTTAGGCGAGCGGAGCTGACCTTGTCAAATTAACTTTGGCTAAGGCTTACATCTTATGACTATGTAAGCAGGGAAGGGAGGCGACCCAGTAGTCAAAAATACATCTCGGAAGTATCTAATGGTGGGAAAGCTTTGTGGTCTTCTTTCAACACTAGCCTTCCAATGTCAGGTGCTACCCGGGAAGATTTCTGCTTTGCAAAACAGGATCACACATAAATAATATTGGACTGGATTACCAAAAACAAAAAACAAAAAAAAACTTTCCACTAGTGATAACTCTGAATATTTATTATAAGCCTTCAGACTGTCAGGGCGGCCTATTGACAAGGCAAAAGAAATAGTCGAGTTGATTCAGTAAAATAAGAGCAAGGGTTCTTTTTAAGAATATTCTAAAGTTGAATTCTTCCCAAGTATTTCTTTATTTATTAGTTCAATTTGTATGACTGCCCATCTCATGTTTATTGACTCTGGGTAACTAACATTGTTACAAATTATAAGGAAGGAATAAAAACAGAAAACATACTTATCTTCTACAGAAATATTATTTTAAAATGTTAAGCTATAATAAAGTCTGATATTAGACTTAAAAAAATGAAGTAATGATGATTAGGGCCATCAGGAAGAAGTGGGATTCAGCAGGTTCTGACCAGTTCTGGAGAATTGGTAGCAGAAATTTTGAGTAGTTCAGAGAATCGGCAAATACCGCCTCTGACTGGAGATTTTACAGTATCCTTCCCCTGCCATGGCCATTAAGCCATGCCCACAGAACCGGTAGTAAAAAAAAAATTGAATCCCACCACTGCCATCAGGTGATTTTTTTACTTCTGTATTTGTAAGGGTTGCAAAGAGAATAAAGAGGAAGGATTTTTTTTCATATTTTCTTTCTTCTCTTTCTTTCATCTATATTGTCATTCACTTTTTGGTCTATCTTTCCTGTTTCTCTTTTTATTCTTTTCTTTTTATGATGTGTAGATTTTAACTTTGTAAAAAAAAATCTATAAAAATTATACATATAAGTATATTCCTTTAATTCTGCTTACTCTTGAGCCCAGTAATGATATTACTCTTTGACATACTGACTGTGTTTGTATCACCAACAGAACCAATACTTACTCAACTGTATTTTAGCTCAAAATGTTTTGACAGCTGATCTCATAGTTAGTTTATGAGCAAACCCAGAAAGTCAGGTTGAGTAAACAGCAATTTACTATGACTTAACATGTCATGCAAACACAGTCAATGGAATGCTTTTCAATGGAAAAGGGGGTGCATAAATGGTCTTTAATCCAGGCATTAATACGTTTTCTGGGATATAACAGAGGTCTGTCTTAGCAAATGGCAGCCCTTAGCCAATCTAGGTTGGGCTCAGACCATTAGTGTGGTGGGGGCCAATTAGTGCTGGGTCAAGAAATGGCCAGGTAATGATAGGATTTTAACTTAGAATGCAAGGAAAAAGAAAGATAAGAAAAATCTGAAAAACGATAACATTTGATAACATTGCACGACACCTACGTAACATCATGAAGTCAACAAGTGATGAACCTTACTGGAAGAGATATTAACAGAGATCTACTGCATATATATTTACAAAGCAAGCTGACTTTAAATGACTTCCTTTAATAGAGGTGTTCCCAACCCCACAGGCCATGGACTGATATTGGTTTATGGCCTGTTAGAAACCGGGCCACTCAGCTGGAATTTAGCAGCAGGCGAGTAAAACAGTGCATACACAGGATCTAAGTTGTGTACTCCTCCCACACCGCCCTGCATCCATGGAAAAAATTATCTTCCACCAATCAATCTCTGGTGCCCAAAATGTTGGGGACCACTGCTTTAAGGTACATGTAAAATTGATATTTGATATACATATAGTTTAGAATACAAGCAGTCCTTGAGATATGACCATGATTGCGACCAGAATTTCCATGGCTAAGCAAGCCAGTTGTTAAGTGAGTCTCAC